GCCGCCCCTGGGCTCTCTATAAACACTGGTGTTCTGGCCCAGAAAGATTTGCCTGCATCCAAGAGTGGCAGTGGGGAACAGGTGATGCATTGTTGGCTCTGGAACACTCTGGAGCCCACAGGAAGCCCACTCATGTGAAATTTTTCTCTGTTTATCCTCCTGAGTTTTCTAGTCTGGGGAGGAGGCAGTAGCACACTAACAGAAGGCAGTGGAACCCGCAGGGACAGGGCTTACTGTGCTGGAGGAGTGGGTTGGAGGGCTCACTCTTTTTGGAGCCAACAGTCAGTACCCTTATTTTGTCAGCCCTGTGGTATGCTGTGCTAGGCAGTGGGGGTTTGGAATATGGAAGATGTGTCACTGTCCTCAAGAAGCTTGCTGTCCAGGTGGCGAACAGTATACTGGGAGCACCTGAGCAGTGTGAGTGGTATATAATTACCCACTGAGGGGGCTTCACAGCCCTGCCTCCTCTCCTCTGGGATGAATACAACAGTCAGACAGTGCATGTGTTGCCAAGATACTAGGATGGAGCAGCCTGCTACTGTGTCGGGGCAACCACCCCACGCAGGGATTCAGGCTCTGTTCCTAGGTAAAAACAGCAGAAGATAGGGGAAGGAAATGCTGTAGCTAATACCTTGATTTCAGCAAGATTTCTTGCATTTTTTCCCCCTGTAACATTCTTATGCATAATAAAGATAAATGTGGGCTAAAGCAGTCCAGTTAGGAGGACGCATAGCTAGTTGTTCAGTCTGTTGACCTGGATGATGATCTCTAGTGGCATGCCATTGAACTCTGGTTTTGGCTCTGTCTCATCCAATTATTGTTACTATTCTTAATATTAGTATTTTTTAAGATAGATTCTCTTCTTTCACCGAGGCTAGAGTGTGGTATAGTAGAATGATCACAGCTCACTGTAACCTCAAACTCCTGGGCTTAAGTGATCCTCCTACCTCAGCCTCCTGAGTAGTAAGACTGTAGGCATGTGTCACCATGCCTGGCTAATGTTTTTGTT